TTTTTTTCTGATTATAGATGCTTTCTGACTAGGTCCCTAGCAGACGATCTTCTGCCAGCTTTGTTACGTTTTCACCAAAATTGGTCATTTTGAGAGAGAGAGAGAGAGAGAGAGAGAGAGAGAGAGAGAGAGAGAGAGAGAGAGAGAGAGAGAGAGAGAGAAAGAGTCACTGCAAACTTCTAATTGAAAAAAGATATATTTTAATGGATATCATGATTATCGTTATGTATATGCATGTACGTTTTTTTGTTATTTTCTGGAGATACAAGATTCTTTTTTTCCAAACACTAAATAATGTCAACAGTATAGTAAATCAATCACAATATAAAGACTATGACTGTTGATTCAAATTTATTTTTAGTTTGTTTAGTTGAACCTGACAAGTGATTGCAATATTATGAGAATAAGCTAAAATCACTAAAAGCGACAGACTTTTAGTTATTTTGGAATTGCTATGAATAGAATATGTGCTTTAGTATAATTGTCTAACTCAGTGACTCAACTGCATATAGTTGAGTTTTACATGTATATTTTGTTTGAAACACTGTATTATAGTTTGATGTATTTTAAATGAAAAGCATTGTTTTGAACAGAATGTTATTTGGCCAACAACCATGTTTAATTTAAAGCAAAATGAGGCATTTTGTCTCATTAAAAAGGGCCAATATGTGTATATTGGTGGGCAGGCAGGTACTGGGGAAAACTTTCTTGTTACAAGAATGTGTGAAATACTTAAGAAGGGAAGGAAAAAAATGTATACAACTGGCATTGCATGCACCAATTATCCTACTAGCATTGGTACAGAGACAATACATAGGTGGTCTGGAATTGGAGATGAGAGACTAACATGTAAGGAAATATGTAACTTTATTACAACTGAGAACCACATGAAAATCACATATGAGAATATAAAATCTGCTAATGTTTTAATAGTAGATGAAGTCTCCACGTTGAGTAAGTGACTTTTTGAGATCATGGAATCTATTTGTTCCTTAAAGGACCAATCAAAATTATTTGGTGGAATGCAGGTTATTTTTTGTGGAGATTTTTTTCCAGTTGCCACCTGTGATGAATGTATTGTATGATGATGATGGAAGTCCTTGTTTTGAATCAGATTTGTTTGATGTGGTATTTTCACACAGAGTAGTTTAAAAAAAAATTTATCTGGAGCCAGAAAACAAATTAGTGATGACACCATTTCATTAATGGATCAGTTGACTAGACCACTGGCAGATAATGGAATTTCTAGTATTTAACTTTTTGCTACTAATCATATGGAAGATGCTTACAACCGAGATCAGATTTTGAAAATGGAAGGAGATTTATTTGAATATGTTGCTCAGTATACTGGTGAGAAAAAATATATCTCCACCATATCAGCTCCACAGAGGCTTTGGTTGAAAAAGAACTGCCCTGTAGTTTCAAAATTAATTTTGACATGCCTTTCATTATAATTTGATAGGATTATTAAAAATTATTCATTGGAATTACTAAGTGCATGTTGACTTTTTGAACTAAATCTATATTAGCATTATTCCAAATTCATTCAAAGACATTATGTATATATCATTGTGATACATCAAGACTTAGCACATCAGCACATTCGGGTCATTGAGCATATCAGCACATTAAATACAATCTGTTTTTTTTTAACTGTGACAGAAACTTTATCATTCATTATCTAAGATTTGTTTAACAATAATATAAGTTCCTTAAAATTTCACTTTGTATTCAAAGGAAGTAAATTATTTCTTGAATTTTACTAAATGTGCTGGTTGCACTTTTTTTCTGTTACTTAATTTAAGAGCATAAAGTTGTAACAATGATTACCGGTAGGGAGTTAGTCCACTATATCATGAATTAAAAAAAAACCAAACAAATAATAAAATCCTGATTGTGTACCAGTATCCACTTTCTTGAGATAAAGATCAGCAACTAACATTGGCCCCTTGGTACATTCTTGTCCCTAGAAAAGCTTCACTCTGCTACATCGCTGCTATGTAATCCATTTGAAAAACACAGAACTAACAAAGTTTTGGAAACCATATGAGCCAAGACATTTTTTGGGATCTAACTGTGTTTTAAACATGTTTTCAATTCCACACCAAAGTGAATAGCTGAAATATGGTATACACCATTGTCGCTGAATAAGCAAATTGGCTGTCTCATGATTTACCATCTAATGGTTTATATTATCCAAAAATCTCGGAGGTCACATCTGTATATGAAGATTAACAAAATAGTTCCATACACAAGGATCCATTCTTTCATTTATTTTTATGACTTTTATTTTTATGACTTGCTGATATCATTCTGATTTATTTCTTAATTGTTGTCTAAACTAAGTTCATTTATTCATAAAGAAATGTATTAACATGTGCTTTTGCATAACATAAAATTTTCAGTGTCTATTGGTGAAATTCCATTGTCAATTTTGCTCATGCATAATTTGCAAATTTTTCTCTTCAGTTTCAAGTAAATCTTGCATATAATCCTCCTTCACATAAAGGGCTCTCACCAGTTTTTATGTACTTTTCAGAGAGTAACATTTGCAAGGTGAAGTTGTTTGCATTTGAAACTGTTTTAAAACAGCTAGCAGGTTTTTTTAAAGGTGATGTATGGAGTAAGGCCTAGCTGTATACTCTATAACCCATATTACACCATTCATCATACAACAAAATAAAGAGAATTAAATGTTCTTTGAACAGTACCAAAGATATATAAGGTGTTTTTAAATAGCCTATATAATCAGTGAAGAAATCTGGAAAAGTTCATTTTTTAAAAATCCTAACCATATGCAAAATACAAATATATAGAGTTCCACCTTAAAACACAAGAAAAAATATGCAATTATTTAGATTAGTTTCATATCATCATGTATGATGTTCTAAACAATTGGTACATTAACACTAACACTGATGTTATGCTTGAAAATAAGCAGATTATGCTTTTTTTTGCTCTTGCTTACATAATGTGCCATAATACATGTTTGTATGAGAAGAGACTTTAATTATTGTGAAATTAGAAGTCTTAGAATATAGGAATAAAGTCAACTGAAATTTAAAACTGTTGCATTAAGTAAAATAAATATATAATGAAAATGTTCCTTTAATAATAATAATAATGAGGACGTTGTAAAGCACCTAATCTTTAGAAGCTCTAAGTGCTTTACAACATTTGACAACACTTAAAAAAACATAATGATATGATTACAACAAAAAAAAACAACAAACATCATGAAATTATAAAACAGAAAACATGCTGCAAATGTTTAAGGCAAGGAAACATTATTAGGTCTTTAAGTCTGTTCTTGCAGCTGAAATAGATGGGTTTTAAGAGCGCTCTTGAATGAGATCACAATGTCTTTGTGTCTAAGTTCAGTGGGCAATTGTTGAGACACTGGATGATGATCTATGACATTTGAGAGTGGCTGAATGTACAGAATGAAGAGAACAGGTCCAAGAACAAATAATCAACTGTGCTGGAGTGTTTTCCATTTGCAGACAGAAATTTGTGTCCTATTGACCAAGTAGGGCTTGAACCATAGTAAGGCTGTATCGTGAAAGCCAAATACATGCTGGAGACAGTAAAGCAATATATCATGGTGTACTTGTGTCAGATGCTGCAGACAAGACAAGGAGAGTGGTGACTGTAATCTTTCCATCATCCAAAGCAGAGAGAAGGTCATTAACTACTTTCAGAAGAGTAGTTTCAGTACTGTGGCAAGGGAGGGTGATATGCAGACTGTACATTGCTAAAAAGAATTCAGAAGAGATACAAGTTGGGATAGAAAAACTTTTTCTATGATTTTTTTTACATGAATGGGAGATTACAAACATGGAAATTGAAAAATAAATGTTGACAAAGCTAATTAGTTGTCTTTCATATCAAACAATAAGTAAATATTTTAACCATTGACCTATGACCTATATGTACCACATCTGTTCCTCTCCTTTCAAACTATAAAATTTATTTGTGACATCTGGGGAATAATTCTGGTCAGTTTCAAGTTACTGTCTTTCAGCATAACATTGCTTGCTATGTTGAAAAAATGTAATGTGCATTTTTAAAATTGCTTACTTTTCATCATAAGCAGTTGGGGGGCTGGGCTTAAAAAATATTGTTCTGTGGGGGAAATACAAGAGAAGTATGTAAAAGGACTGTTTTGTTGCTTGCAGCTAAAATGTTTCAGCCATAAAATCAAACTTAAAACATACAGTACTGATACCTATGTGCTCACCATTTATTATGCACTTTTGAGACAGTGAAATGTGAGGTGAAGTTGTTTGCATTTGAATCATGCACAGTGGAGAGAATGTTGGCATACCTCTGTGCTACTTTGATGTAATGTGGCTGAGATTTCTTTGGAAACTGAACACCGTCTAAGCACACTGCTAACTAAAATGACTGCTCTCTTGTGCTTAAACAATCAGTCTGAATTAGTCTCAAGTACACTATCTTAAGGAGCTATTAAATTAGGGAAAATAAATATTGCAAGACTAGACAGTACCAGCTTCTGAAAGTGCTATGGATGAATTACCAAAAATATAAAACAAAGTTATCGGGTCTTTTTTATAATTTACCTCTGAAGTTCAGAAAGTGAAAATAACCAAGTGGAACTAGCAGTTCTTCTCTAAATGATGCACATCTGGAATAGGGCCTAGCTGTATAATCCATATTACACCCATTAATTATACATCAAAATTAGGAGAATTAAAGGTTCTTTAAACAATACTTAAGATATACAAGGTCTTTATTAGTGATGTGATGTGATATTTTTTAATGTAGCTTTAACAATTTTTCAGTTGTATCGCTACAATGTCTGGTGTGTGGCAGTTTATAGTGATGTCTAGCACTGTGGCATATGCCGCAGTCAAGTAGCATGATGTACCACCCAGTCACATTATCCTGATACTAGACCAACCAGTCCTAACACTAACCTCTGAATGCTGAGCACCAAGTGAGGCAGCTGTTAGTACCATTTTTGTATGTCTTTGGTATGACTTGACTGGGAATTGAAACCATGACCTTCCGCATCAGAGGCAGACTCTCTAACCACTAGGCCACCGGACCGATTTAGGTCTTTATTAAATAACTTGTATAACCAGTAAGGAAATCTTGGAAAATTCCTTTCTTAAAAATTGTAACCCTATGAAAAATACGAAACTGCAGTGCCACTATAATGCCTAAGAGGCTGTCACAATTTATTAGGTACTTTAGAGAGAGTGACACATGTAAGGTGAAGTTGTTCACATTTGAAACATGCACAATGGAAAGAATGTTGGTATAGCTCTAAGCTACTTTGACGTAATGTAGCTGACATTTATTTGGATATTTTACTATTGAAATTGATCTAAGCACACACCTAACAAAAATGAATGCTTCCTTGTGCTAAAAAAAAGTCAGCCTGAATTAGTCTAAAGTACACTATTTATATCAGCTATTAAAATAGTGAAAATGAATTTTGCCAGACTAGACAATACTAACTTCTAAAAGTACAATTAATGATTTACCAAATATTATAAAATGTAAAAATAGTGATCTGCTTTTTTTTTCTTTTTTTTTACAAAGGTGAAAATGACCAAATGAAACTACATGTAGCAGATTTATGAAAGATGCACATCTGAAGTAAGCCTTTTAGATGTATACTCCAAAACCCATAGTACTCAATTCAATCAAACACCAAAATAAAGGGAATTGAGGATATTTAAACAATACCTGAGATAAACAACGTCTTTTTATAAATAGCCAATATAACCAGTAGGAAACCAGGCGAAATTCTTTTCCTTTAAAATTAATATTATAAATACGAAACTATATAGCGCCACATAAATAGGAGTAATCGGTTTTGAGAAACAACAGAACTTAAGATTTGTACAAGGTCGTTGTGTGAATAAACGAAACTGGTCATTCCGTACCCAAGTCGTTTTGTACCCAAATACATCGTTTCGTACCCAAATACATCGTTTCGTACCCACACCAATGGTTGTTTCGCCGTTTCGTACCCAAGGTACTGGTTGTTTCGTAGCCAAGGTGCTGCTCGTTTCGTACCCAATGTTATAGTCGTTTCGTACCTAAAGTACAAATATAACATATTATAAGCATAATTGAAATGTTAAGTTATGAAATTTTAAATTCCACGGATATCTAGTTAGCTGAAGTTAAAGCAAAAAAAAAAAAAAAAAAAACCTGAGAAGATACCAGAAAATAAACGTACAAAAAAGCAGGGGAGAATATTCTTGATGTGGGAAGAATGCTAGAACTGCGTTATCTCCTCCTCAAATTACTGAAACGTTGCAGCAGCAGTATATACGGTCCGACAACTGACTGACAAGACAAATTAGCTGCATTGATTGACAATGATTTTTTAAATTATGTTTTCCACATGTGTGTAATAAAACTCAGGAATGTACAATTCGGAATAATGTTGTTAGTCTCTTGCTCTTTAATAAATCTGAGCTAATTTTCGGCTCATTGAGACTTCTGCAATCATTCATTGTATTTTAAATTTTACTGTTCTACTCTGGAAAAAATATATGCCGTATTACATGTGTGCTATATTATAAATGTTTTAATACTGGCAGAATAAACACATGCATACATATATCTTCGATTAATTAAATATTTAATTGCATCAATTTTAAGACTGAAGTAAATATATCTAAAATGCTGTGCCAAATTAAATCTCTCTCTCTCTCTCTCTCTCTCTCTCTCTCTCTCTCTCTCTCTCTCTCTCTCTCTCTCTCTCTCTGCGATTTTTTTTATCTGTGTTTTATTTAGGATGATAACAAAGTAAAACAGATTATGCCAAACAATGAAAACAAATTTTCACTTGCCATGAAAAATTATTAATATTTATATTTAGTTGAAAATAGAGAATTTTAATTATGTCATTAACTTCTTAACTTCTTAAGATCGGTGAAAGTATCCAAAAATTTGCACAAGTATGCTAATGCGGCTGACAGTCTACCAATAAATGGCTTGGTGGTCCGTACAGTATACCACGACGAATACCTTTAAAAGCAGGCGACATAAATTGAAATTAACTCATTGGAGAACAGAATCTTAATCAAGCTACACCGTTTTATCTGTATTCAACCCCATTATTAAAGGATCAGAGAATTGCTAGTTGCTTTGAGAGGATAAACATTTGTATTTTTTTAGTCACGTTAGACATTACTAAATAATACCACAAGAGCCTGCAGTTTAATCAATAAAGCACGACGAAATTTCTGACAACATGACATCACCAAAACGGTATTAGAAATTAATTTATAATACCGTTAAGGTGATTTTAGTCAGAAATTTCGTCGTGCTTCATTGATAAACTGCAGACTCCTGTGATAATACCAAGAAATAAAATAGAAATAGGACACTGTTATTTTGAACGATAAAAAAAAGAATGGACTTATTCAGTTATTTTAGCCTGACCAACGTTTTCTTTTTCTTTTTACTGGCAATGTGAAGTTTTGTTAATTCTTTTTAGTACATAGATACTATTATACAGTGAAACAATACAATTACTGTACTTATTTGTTAGTTCACTCTTTAGCCAGATAACCTTTGCTCATGCAATTTTAAAGGAAGGAAAAATATTGGGCCTAGAGTGGGAGCGGTAAATATGACAATACTGTATATTTGGCCTTGTAAATTATACGGTACGAAACAACCACCACCTTGAATACGAAACAACCAGCACTTTAGGTACGAAACTACTTGGAAGATGATTACGGAATGACCATGAGCCGTGAATAAACATTTCGGAGAGTTACACTTCCGATATAATTCAGAAAACAAAATGACCACACGAGAGATAATAACGTTGCAAGTCGGTCATTATTCCAACTTTATCGGAACACATTGGTGGAATGCACAGGTAAAATCAAATTACAAGTCCACAGTAAAAGTGTGATTGACTCCTATCTACGCTAAAAATAAATACACCTAATAATCGATAGCCGACTAAGTTTTCGAGGCTTATATTTAAAATATCCCTTTTCGCATAGTTGGTGCCATAGACTTGTTCATATATTTGTTACTTTGATAGTACATTGCTTAGCGCTTTAAGGGAAGTAAATAATGCCATACGTGTTTAAAATTTAATATTGTATCAAGGAAATATTTTGACGTTGTATTGTGTTTTCGAGGTATACAGATATACTGAAGCAAAGTGCACACCGAATTCGACCGATTAACGAAAATAAAATACTGCAGTGCTTACCATTTGAAAAGAGACAGTTGTCACCAGAATACTCTGTTCAAAATAATATTTATTTTGAACACACTGGATACCACCCGTGTGTTTTCGTTACTCGCGATATGTCGGCCTATTCAGCACATAGCTTTGAACAGATGTAATGTTTATTAGTCCGGCTGATGGAAATTACTGTGGACTGTTTCTGTCAGCATTTCAGAAGATAGATGAGGTCAGGTTTATACAAAATTCAATGTAACAGTGCCAATAAATACAAAAGATACATAGCAAAGTAAACTGATATTGTAAAACGATTATTAAAGTTAAGCATTTTATAACAAAAATAATCTGTTGAAGAGAACCAACAATGAACAGGCTGTAATGTGTTTACAACATCTTGTTCATGGAAAAAAATATTACTGAAGAATTTAAAAACAGACTATGTTGGGGAATTTCGTGAGAATCCAGTTCTTGCGGCAAGCTAACATGTTGTATAGCAGACAATAAAATGGTGGGGGATAGCTTGAAAAATTGGAAACTTGGAGTAAAATGCAGTATTGTTTCAATATATACATTACCATTTTTTATAATATGTATTTAATATATGATTCTAAAAGACACAATAGGATTTTCTGGGTTACAAGTTGAAGACGGTCATTGAGTGGGTCTTTATGTTGACATTTAAAAATCACATTTTCATATGCAGTTAGAGTAGAAATGTGGGATATTTTTGTACAATTTATGAATATCACTTTCTTCATAAAAAGATTATCGTTCTTTCTTGATACAAATTTGATATTCGACCAAAAAACACGTGATCCATTTTTTTACAGGAATGTCATATCATTCCACAGAATTACCAGATGCTCAGAATTGGCATACATTCTGGTGTATGGACTCAAGATAATAAGCATTTTTACCACAAAATTGACCATTCCAGTGACCAAGTGGTTAGAGCTTTAACCTTGGATGCAGGAGGTCATGGGTTTCTAACCCCAGCTGAGTCATACCAAAAACTTACAGAAATGATACTAACAGCTGCCTCACTTGTCACTCAGCATTCAGAAGTTAGTTTTAAGACTGGTTGAACTGATGTCAGGAAAATGTAACTGGATAGGACATTAAGTTGCATTTCTGTGACTTGATACTCCAACGTTAGACATCATTATAAACTGCCACACTGCAGATATGACTGAAAACTTGTGATATGACTGAAAACTTGTTAAGCTATGTTAAAAATCTAAATCACACATATATACACATACAGATAGAAACACCCCAAGCACACACTCACACACAAAGACTGAAGAACAACTGTTAATCAATGTTGATTCATATAGTCCTAAAATGTAAGACCTCTCTATATTTTTTCATGGGTTTTTTTAAATCACCTATGAACACAAATTCATAAAAGGCATCTTACATTGTAGGACTAATTCAGTTAGTGATATTATCAATTCATTAAATACTATGGGTTATGTAAAATTGTATCTTGCAGCTGATCTTGTCCAAAATCAAGTTCATTGTCTACCTGACCATAATTATTGTTGTTTTTTTTTAAATTCTGTAAACATCTAATATGTAGCTAATATTATCTCACAGAATGTGGCTTCAATATTAGGTTCATATTTAGGTTAGGGGAATTCCCCTATAAAAATACCTGCCTACCTGATTATGCTTCATTCTGTATTATAATTTTAGTAATCAAATGCTCTGGAAATATAAATTCCATTATGTCATAGTATTATCAGAAAATGCTAATTGTGACCAAGGTCAAGCAGATGGCTTATAATCTTGTTTGTCTAAAAATTAATTATTCTGACTGTATGATCAAGCAGGCACTTTTATATTGTTTTTGTTCAGTACTGTATTTAATTTG